ACTGCTGCTGCTGCTGCTGCTGCTCCTACTGCTGCTGCTGCTGCTGCTGCTGCTACTGCTGCTGCTGCTGCTGCTGCTGCTGTTGCTACTGCCACTGCTGACGACGATTACTATGACGCTGAATGTAAATACTAATCTGTCACTAGTCCTCATTACATGTCAACGATCTATAATCGAGTAATTTTTCTCTGCATCATGTTCGACATTCTACAACAACCACTGTTCCCATTTACAACTACAAACAAGTGCACACTCCAGGTAATCTGATTTTTTCTCAATGTAAAAGACATGTCTTCAGTACATGTATTTGTATGTGAATTACATGCAATAAAGATCTCTCCAGCGCATGCGGACTAGCGCACGCTCAAACCTCACCTTGTACTTCTGCCGCAGCTGCTCCGTGTCGCGTTTTTCGACCTCCAGGAGGCGCCGCTTCTCCGTCGTCTGCTCGGCGTGCACGTTCTCCATGCTCTCGCGCCCGATCCCCATTATGTCCGTCTTTAGCGTGAACCCGACCGGCTCCTTCCGCCCTGCAAGTACACCCCCGCCCAATCACTACCCGCGAGAGGGGAAGCTGACCTCTCCTCCTCCTCCACAGCAGCAGCCTCACCTGCAGTAGCAAGCGTGAAGCCCTGATGGAACGACCGAACACGCATCCTTTCTTTATCTAACGTGAAGTTATTGTCACTGGTGACCATTTGAAGTGTTTGTCTACATACAGGCGACGCGCAAACATGAGGTGCTGCTCTGATGGTTAGGAAGTTCTACGTGAGATGCACAAGTGATGTTGTTAACGGTATTTGAACAGTTCAGCATTGCGACGGGGGAAAAGTCAAGGAAAATGAACACGTATCAATCGATTGGAAGTTTGAAAACATTCAGTGTACCATTATATAGCAGTTTGAACAGAGCTGGGTTTAAAACGTGTTTAGATTTGCAAACTAATAACTCTGCTTCTACGTAATATTCAGCAAAAACCTTGTATGCAACACATGAGAAGTGGTAACAATGAACGAATCTAGCAAGGGGACAATAAAACCTCACACGATGGAACCGTTCACAATTCAAAGTCGATCTCGTACGGTCGTCATGGTTACAGGAAACAGCAATGATGCACCCACATTTCCGTCGGCGATCCGTTTAACTATTCCCATTTATATTCTCACAATGAGCGATTAAAGAGGCGTTAGTATATTTAGTGATAACGGACAGGAACGGAAGAGGGACAGGCACACGCACGCACGCACGCACGCACGCATGCACGCACGCACACACACACATACACACACACACATACACACAATGGCACAGAAACGACGATCGCTCCCTGCGACTGAGAATAACACACAGAATGATCACAACACCACACAGTACATGCCAACATTCAACGACAGCAGCACCTGCGAATGACGCCTCGACGGCGGGGACATCAGAACTACGGACAACCTTTGGGACGAAACCAAGGAGGCGACTACATCTTTATCGCAACGAAAACTTTCGATGACTATTTTTATCATTAAAGTTTTTTATTTTTTTTCCATCTGACCACATTTAGAATAGTCGGGAGGCTAGCGACAGCAGTCGTGCTCCAAAGAACACATGAGGGTAACGGCGAGAAATATAACGGTATCGCCTGCTAGTGATATATAACCAACAGGGACCACGAATGTGAACGCAGTGAAAACAGAAGGAGCAAGTTAGTCTGTCCGTGATATGGTGGGGAGATGACAGCATGCGAGTGGTATAAGAGCCCATTTCCACAATTACTACGATGGAAGGAGACAAGTAGGCTGATACTGGGCCGACAAGTGACAGAGAAACTGTTTCGACGACATTGAAAAAGGTGAATAGCTACAGTAATGACAAAGCTTCAGTCCCCCGCCCACCGAACGAACCCTAACACCACTCTTACTTGCTGACACTACGTATACGCTTCTAAAACGCTACCGTGTTACAACAGTCAGTCACTAACACTTACACACACCCGGCTGGCAAATATATGTAGAGACAAGTGCATGACACCAGTGCGCTAGACGGACTACTCCAGTTGCAACTAGACGCTCGTATAATTGTATGCAACCGTGTGTGAAAGTTTAACTAGAACCATGTTGCCAGCCACCGGTTTACCAAAGCAAGCTAGCGACCTTCACACATTCAATGTCAAGCCGATAAACTTACCTACCGCTTGCGGAAATTGCGCGCAGCATTATTCGACCCACATGTTCAACATCAGAGATTAATATAGAGCTACAATGGAGAGACATCGCCACGCAGAATATCTCAGTTAAGTTAGCTATAGACACATCACGATTCTGTATCGAGGACTGTGCTTGCCTTAACTAGCCAATTTACTCGTAAAACAAATGGTTTAAATGCGCTAAAAATTCATTAAATTTGCAATTTATTTACATTGATATACCTATATGTATTTTAAATATAGATATAGCTATATATAAATATATTAGTTAATTATATTATATAAGAGATACATATAATATATATATATATATATATATATATCATTTCAGCATCAAGTTATGTCAATGAAATAAAACAAGACAGTGGAGTAGCAAAGAACTACGATACCAAACAAACAACAGCAGAACAATATCTAAATCTCACACCCAGGGGGAGCCAGAGGTGGCAGCCCAAAGCTTAGGCATAATACATGTGCAACCCACCAAATCGATGGCACAGGTTTTAGGCAAAGCATAAAAGGCATTAACATAACAGCACACGGGAAGGGCAGATGCACGGCCTCTACTGCCCCCTATATCCGGCTCCCACTTGGCGTTCTCGTCCTATAGTGCAACAACACAGCATAGCCTCCGTACATGCACGAAGCAGACAACAGCATGCAGGTTTTAAGAATCTCTGCGCAGTCAAATCGCTGTTAGTAGTTGCTAATCGGCATGTGCAGCAACGGCAGGTGGACTGCAGGACAGGTCTAGCCTAGCCAACTTCACACTAAGACTTCCCAAAGTTCCTCAATAAGTTCCTCAAAAGGTTCCTCAAGAAGTTCCTCAACCCATGGGCCTTGCTGTGAATGCTACTGGCCGTAATGAGGAACAAACCATTTTAAACGTGAGGAAGCTTGGACAGACCCGTCCTTCGCCCGACAGGCCGCGCGTGTCGACAAACGACGCACGCGTGCTGCCCTCTCTGCAATGCGGGTTAGTGTTTCATTCTCGCGGAGGTGCACCGGTAACCGGTAGCACCCCCTGGTGGCGAATGCTGCGCGGCACTGTGACAGAAGCATCGACAAACAAGCGCAAGTAGTAGAGGCGTACGCCGAAAAATCGCGCTTCTCCCCAATTTGCTTCTGTTCTTTTTGTTTCTGTTTACAGTTACAGTTACATTTACAGTTACAGTTACAGTTACAGTTACAGTTACAGTTACAAAACATTTCAGTTTGCCAGGCTGGAATTAACTGCCCTTAGCGTCTGACTATAGAATTTTTTTGCCCAGTGCTATATCACGCTGGCAAGATGCTTCCGCCATCAGCTTGCTAGCATTCTCCCACCATTTCTAATCTGCCAACAAACCTCACAAGAAACGCATCGTTCTTGTGACTCAAAACTAAGCGCGCGAGTGTGAGTGTGAGGGTGAGGAAGAGGAGGAGGGGAGAGGGCAAGGATAACGGGTTATTAACAACATGTTAAACGCCCACAGTCATTGCAAAGTGTCACTTACACACCTGCACAGCGCCCGCCTACAGACAAACAGGCCGGCATGACGACGACGATAAAATGACAGCCAACAGCTTCCGCAGAAATCTTCCACCGTATAATATAGCGACACATTGGCAGAGGATAGGCACGTGACACTATACAAACACACAGACATTGTTACCTCACCGAACGCCGGGACCGTTTAGTTACAATGGTGGGAGGTGTGTGCATGCACTATCGAAAACGCAGGACGGCTAGAGAGAGAGAACAACAAGTAAATAAATCCGAGCTACATACTGTGTGTACATACATGTTCACAATACAGTTTCCGACGACGTCACTGCTGGTTAACCCCAGGTCAACCTGACCCGTCGAGATGCTGTGCTGCCATTACTCTGTCTCGCCTGATCCAGCCACCAGGGGGCAACAAGGTATCACATGATTTACCCATCACACACCACAAACAACATGCACCGTGATTTCTCGTCCACACTTACAAGTACTTACACGTGAAAAAAATTTCATACAGTATTTTCAACGCATATGCACAGACACTACGTCATTACGTGCGAATTTTTCTTTATTCGACGAAAAGGTTCTCCTATGAAATATCTTCAGGTGATACATTTTAAATCAACAGCAAGGCACACGCCGTAATCAAAGCGGAAGAATCAAATCACCAAGCTTCAAAAAGCACTTCTATCTATACGCCCGAGGTATAGCTACGTGTTAGAACACGCCGCCGTGTTAGGATGTGATCTCATCTCTCTCGTGTCTGTTATGCGACAGAGCATGCACCGCAACGCGTTCTAGGCAGTAGCCAGTACTCACGCCCGTGTGCATGTGTGTGTTTCACCACCACTAGTGCTAACCCGGTCACACACACACCAGGGTTCATAGTAGTAAGACACATGTTGAAATAAGGACTTATTAAACCCTTTCTGGTAGCCAAAATAAGACTTTATTATTAGATATATAAATTATTAGATATTATTTATTAGATTTAATTATTCCGTATTATATATACAACACAATTCTTACTCTAAGTCGAGAACAGTTTATAAAACAATGTTGAAAAATGATCCTTTGGCAAAAAATAAGAACTATTAAGTACTTTTCTAAGATTTCACCAAAAATAAGTACTAATAAGGGCCCTTATTTTATTTTTGGCAAAATAAGTACTTATAAGACTTTGGAAGACCCGCTACGAACCCTGACACACACGCACACACACACACACACACCCCTACGGTACTTGCAGACGCGACGAGTGGCATAGCGAGGAGACGCAGCGAAATTAACGAGAGTGAAGAGAGAAAGAAGACAGAGACATGAAATCTAGAAACAGTTGCACATCTACTGCAGCAGAAATACGGTCACCACATACGCATGCACAGTAATGCACGGTACGGTACGGTACGGTACGGTACGGTACGGTACGGTACGGTACGGTACGGTACGGTACGGTACGGTAATGAGATGTCGCAAACACTGTGCGCGGCACACACCAACAAATCAAATCCATACACACACATACATATACATACATACATATACATACATACATACATATATATATATATATATATATGTACATACATACAAATTAGTATATGAGTAGATTGACATGTCAATCCAATATCCAAAACCATATAAAAACAGTATACAAAATTGTCTCTATTACGAAACTCTTGCCCGAAAAAAAACGTTTTTTTACGTATTAAATGATCTCGATGATAATGACAATTCAAGAAGCCACGCCGCGTATCAGGAGCGGACGCATCGCCCGAGTCTCATTCCTGTTCGAGAAGTGATTAGGAACGCCACCTGGTAGCTGCCTCTTTACGTTACAGCAGAGAAAGAAAGAGCGTCGGGACAGAACCCCTCTAGTAGAAGGACAGCTCGTAGCTCGACCATCTAGAAAACCGGTCACCATGCGTAGTATGCCAAGCAGCACAAAATAAAAAGCAAAATTGCAATCTTTAGGTGTAGCGGAAGACAGACAGACACCATGTCGGCTAGCTGACATGGCAGCGGTGTCTACGCGACTGCGCTAGCACGAGTACAGAGAGGAGGAGTGCAACGTTAGCTGTATGTAAACCAGATCCAAGACAGAGAGCAGTTTGCAACGCCGCCGCTGCTGCTAAAGTTGCGCCGTTCCGTGGCTTCGGTGGCGCCCCCCTCTGGAAATCCCGGTGAGTGCACGTACGACGAGTTTGCGCTTGAGGCAGGACGTGTGATGCAGCCGGTCGCATAAAGATGTTGGTCAACGACTGGCTGCACACTCACTGCACGTCACCACTGGTACTCGTCGAACCAGCGAGCATTTCGGAATGCGGTTGCCTCCGCTAGGTGCTGCTTACATTTCGCCTGCACTACTGCAAATTCTGCAGCATTGCAAATTAACAATTAGTAAATATCTAATCTCTTAGTAAGCTGATGAATGTATTCGAGATTCTTCCTGAAGTACTTCTGCTAATTATAGGTGGATTCATTGTGGTATAGAAGCAACATATAGTGATATGACAGGACTCATGGATGACAGGACTCATGGATGGCCAACTCTCATGGATGGCCAATTTCCATCTCCCTCAATTATCATCTCATTCTTACGTAGAAATAAAATAGCCTTTACTTCTGATGTTGTAGGTTTGCCAACTTCTGAGTGAAGTTTGTGATCTTAAAACTGTTACAAAATGTGTCGATAAACCTGAAAACCCCACCTAGCAGCAGCAAGCAGAAATAACACTAATCCGAAATGCGCGTGTTCACATCGACAAATGCATTCACCGAGATTACGTGCAAACAATGTGCATTTCAGATGGAGACCAGCTATCACCACTACTTCACATTAGCTTCCATCTAAACACAGAGTTGCGCCACTATACACATGGAATTTGCCAGCATAATCACTAGTGGTACCATTCAAATGCACACGGTCCAAACCTCCAGGGGGCGCCGCCGGCAAAGCCAAGCTTCAGCGGATCGCAACTTCAACCCAGCCGACAAAGGGGAGGAGAAAGAAACAGAAACCGGTTATTGTCTACAGCTACACGAGTGTGTGCACACATCAAGAAACAGCCGACTACCAGAGATAACATAGTAGATTAATGGTATATATACGTAATGAGGTACACAGGCTAGTACATGTACTCTGCAGTGGGACCACCGACCGGAGTCAGAGCCTGATGGAGCAGTCACAACATCCTACCTGCTTGGCGCGTGTGTATTTACCTCATAACATCCACTACTAGACATGTTTGGGGCTCTGAAATGACCAATACTAATTAGGAGTGTTTGGAGTCGCACGTCGCACCGCGAGCGCTCAGCCACTCATCATCAACCCTTCACTTTACAAACACAATGCTAATACATATTCATACTGACAGCGATGATAAATCGGACGGGCAAAAAACAAATGAAACAAGACGGTGAATACTAAAAAAATAAATGAGATCAACAAGCGTGATCAAAACGTACGTCAGTCTGGATACGTAACGACGGTATCAACTGCATGTGCGTCAGCTAGTAATCTCGGCACTTACATGATCGCTACTAATACTGAGACGGCATCAGAAGTTTTGTCTTTTCCACGATTTGTCAGACGACTCAGACAAATGCACGGGTCGCGCGACCGAGGGTCTGTCGAACCGTTGCGATGCAAAGATCTATGATTGCCGGCAACGCGACATGAGGTGATACGTTTGCGCGCGCGTGCACGATTGCATGTACATGCAGACGCGTGCTTGCGTGTACCTATAGATGCTTGCATGCCTGTGTGCTCATGTAAGGCAGTGTATGCAGGGTTGTATTCGCTGTTTGCCAACCACGCAACGAACGGAAAGCCAGTCTTGTCGACATTTGCTAGGTTAACATTGAGACTCGCAGCCACCCGTGCCACTCCTAAATGCTACATGTACGGCACGAAAGCACGTAGGCGTGGCACGTGTGACCAGACTCCCGATTAGAAGGAAATGTCACCACGGGTTGAATGTGACACACCGCGCTGCGCACGCGGCTTATCGTGAGCTAGCAGGACGAATGCCGGGCGTTCGGACAGCGCACAGAGATGCGAGTTCTCCTTTCTGCACATCAGCCCAGCAGACTCTCAGTGATTAACTATACACGATACATATATATATATATATATATATATATATATATTAATGTGGTGTGTGTGTGTATATATAATGATATAACAGCAGGCCTCCTGTAAGGTTGGATATCTCCACACACTCCGGTCCCCTTAGATAAAGGACCAAGGTAGCCTGCCAGCATTGCCAGCGACCTTGGACGAGATCTGAAATCTACATGTATCCATGATGGCATCCCTGTTGGAATAATCCCCATGTGAAAATAATCAAGAGCAAATAATACATGTATTATTAGCTCTGGAAATAATCCATCCCATCCCACATTTTTTTACGCGCGAATGTTCTTGTTAACTCAGATAGCCTTCCGGAGAAGGCATTTAACAACTCACCCTGCATTGACCTGCCTAGGCCCTGGCCAGCCTTCCAACCATGTTTAGTGAGCAGTCTATGTCCAAGGTTATCCTACATGAACAATGAACAAACACAAACACATGATAATATCAGGTCGACTAAAACGTGTGACACAAACCAAGTCTTGTGCCACAATGCATTCTATAACCTAGCTAACATTACTGATAGCATTTCATTTCCGTAAATATTGGGTGCGGCTTTCTCACTTCCAGAGTAGTGTGTGAACACGCAAATGTTCACTTATTTGAATCAGTTTTCTCTAGTTATGTACACTGTCACTTGGGTGCAGGAGAACTGGCACCCATGTCTAACATAGCACACACGCATTCTTCACAGACACTCACACACGCATGCACGCACGCACGCATGCACGCACGCACGCACACACACACTAGACACGTCTCTTCACACCAGAGAAATATTTGTGTAGATGAATGAACAGCACTGACATAAAAAAATTATTAAATTTCCCGCACACACTGGTCACAGCACAAGCAAGTATGAAGAACATCACATCACGACAGTATAACAAAACAACTGTTCCATCCACGATTTGGAACCACATTGACACGACTCAGAGAAAACTTGTGGATCTCTGGTCTGGGAACTGTACGTTAGTAGGGCCAAAGAGTAGGATTACGTCTGTGGTGTACGAGTGCACATGCTGTTGTGACTCGGAGCTTGAGTGTGCGATAGACGCAAGTTCATGTTTGTGAGAACTGGCAACTATGTTTGTGGAGTGGTGTACGCTTGTGGGTAAGGGAGGTGGCACACTTGTGGGTAGGGACGGTGGCACACTTGTAGACAGGGGCAGTGGCATGTTTGTTACGACTAGGGTCCCTATATACAGAGAGTTGCGCCATGACGAGTCAGAAAAAATCGGTCACGTGGTCGCTGGACGACATGTTGTTTCCAAATGGATACGCACGGCTATGGCCGTAAGAAAGTGTACAATTAAATTATCATATCATGGCGCGAACGATTTGAGTTACATTTCTAGAAATCTAGATACTCATAGACACATGTCTTAGCTATAATCTCTGTAAATTTTGAGTTTATTGAAGCACGATTAGTCTAATTAATTACTACGGACCATTGTACAGCGTATCCATACAGCGCTGTACTTAAGCGGCAGCGGTGAGGATCTATTTGGAAACAAAATGGCGTCAAATCCTGAGTTGGCGCAACTCTCTGTATACAGGGACCCTAGTTATGACATGAGCGCATGTTTGTAAGGCTGTGGATACTAGGAGAATGTTCAGGTGTTCCCCGAGTACAGATCAACCCAGTCAGCCTAATCAACTGAACTCGCGCAATAACAGCAAAGACAATTCGGAACACATACTAAATGGCATCACTTTTACATGGTGTTAAATCAGTGATAAAGGCCTTTACTTTGTTTTTAAGTTGCAGTTACTGAAGCTGATAGGGTCTATGTCCCCCGGGGTACTGCCGAACGTACCCTGGGGGACATAGACCCTATGAGCGTTACTGAAGGATAGAAACTCCATAATTTAACCAGGGGTGACGAAAATGTTTCTCAACATTCACAATATTAGTTCGAACAGTAATAAACATACATGCACATGCAAGTACTCTAGGACATAGCATGCAATATATGCACTGCCGGTGTTACTAGCAAATTTTACCAAACACGTTATTTCAGTACCGCGTAATAACACGCACTGCTCTTAACTCAAGCATTCGTGTTAGGTATTAGTACAGATCTGTTTCCTCAGTGTAACTGGCGTGGTTATTCCGTTTCTTCGGAGAGCTTTAAAGCTAGTGCCAGGATTACACCTGAATGAACCTGCGTGTGGGGGTTAGGTAGCATTGCTGGGTGTTAGTTTCGCTGATATGGTCTATGTCCCCCAGGGTACTGCCGGAACGTACCCTGGGTACGGTCCGGTATACCGGAACGTACCCTGGTACTAAATACTACTATCTAATATGCCGGACCGTACCTCGCCTACTCCACTAACGAGTCTAGGGAGTCGCCTACGCCTACTCCCTAACCCTAACTCTAACCCTAACCCTAACACTAACCCTAACCCTACCCCTAACCATATCAGCTAGATAGTTACCAGGGTACGTTCCGGTATCCCGGACCGTACCCAGGGTACGTTCCGGCAGTACCCTGGGGGACATAGACTCTCTCAGCGTTAGTTTCATCGTGAGTGAAGAGAGCACCAGTTCATCAACATGTAGTGGCAATTGGAGTAGATAGATTGCACTTCAGTTTACTGCTACACACTTAATCACACATGTACATTAAGCTCAATTCTAGCACAAGCAATTAAAGCACGTGTAAATGTCTAGTATTGATTCGGAAATGTGGAAAATTTTCACAAATACAAGTTAGTAAACTGCTAGACATTGATCACCAAACCACAAACAATTTCACCGATTCAGATGCATGAGCACTTCAACCAACACTTATCGAGGTTGAAATAGGAAGTTTATGGTTATATATGTACTAATCTAGTTACCAGGGCATCAGCAGCAATTGACACTAGCTACGTGAGGATATTGACCAACTGAGGACGTTATCATGTCAGCTGAATCCGCCCCCGCACTGTACACAGACGAGCCACCAGCCAGGGTGCTAGGTTTGTTAAAACACATCCTAATGCTCGTGTAGCAGCTGCTGAACCAGATACTGTTTCCGGAAGACGAGCACCCGGGGCTCTTTATTTACGCTACAAGTGGATTCCCCAACCATCGGCCTTCCATAGCTCTACGAATCTCAAATTCCCGGCCAGGCATCCACGAAATAAGATCACGCGCGCGGGGACACGGTGCAGGCTCGTCAGCAAAGTCAGATGTTGACGATGTGTTAGCACAGGCTGTACAAACTCATAAATGAATCATCCCATGCTGCGTGCGTGCGTGTTTGTGTCATACCAGACATAGCTGGGTAACGTGATTGCTATTATTTGTAGGAACTAAGGACTCCATTCGCACTCTCACCTTTGCACAAGCTGCGTGGGTGTCGCGTTGCTGTGATGACGCACTCTCACGTCGCATAGTTTTGTAGCTGGCCATGCACAGTGGTTTTGTGTAAATTAAACAGTGCATAATACTTAATAGCACACATTGCTGTACATATTTTTTCCATGGTTGCATGTAACATTTACGCTTTGAAGAGTAGATCAAACTATCTATTAAGAACAACAGAAGGTTGTCAGAAAGTTCATTAACTACAGACAGTCGGATGAAGAGAACGCATCAATTTCGGTTGAAATAGCTACACTACCGTTATATAGCAGATCAAGTTGGTTAATGTCAGACCACAAACATAAGTTGAAGCATGAATTTAGCCGTGATTGCTAGAATGCACAAGGATTGTTACACTTGCCTACGCGTTGTCATGGATACTACAATAACTAAAAATCACGAATCGAGGCAGCGAATTGATGCCGTTAACAAGCATTAGGTTATTACTGACAACATATAGCTACAACGATCAGCTATGCGGCTACCCATACATAACGTGTTAGTATGTTCGAACGGCAACCAAGAAGCATGCGATTGGTGAACCTTGCAGTTACACAGTAGAACAGAACAGTGAGAAATTAACGAAGGTTAAATGGCATGTAAACAACGCAAACGACACTGTCTCTCTATACAGAGCTTAACGACATCCGCACAGTGTCAACACGTGTTCTTTACCTGAAGACGGCAAACGTTACCTTAGCTGGATGTGGAACAAGGTGGGAGGGCACAACAACTAAAATAAAGTCACAAGCAAATGTTAAGATGAGAACAGAGAAATTACCATTTCGTAATAAAAGGTGCGCGTACAAAAACGCAGTCAAGTCAAAAACACTTTACGCATGATTCTGTCAGTAGAATATGACCCCAATAACATTTTTTCATCAGACAAATTTTCAAAACTAATTTCATAAACATAGACTACATGTGAAAAAACAAATACACTTTAGCCAAGCATCTATGTTTTCAAATCTCCATTAGAAGATGTCTCCGAAGGTAAACACGAATATATTACGTATTGTAATTGATATCCAGCCACAATTTTACATAATTCTATTGATGATTACAATGTTCTGTGAGCTTACGAGCAAACAAATGTGGTCATAGTGTACGCTGGGACTTCTATGAAGATACGCCAAGATGCAATATTATTATAAACCCCACACTTTATTAATATAAGATATGTTGGCTGTATACCATGTATAATTTTTGAGAAGGGTGCCAGTGAACAAGGGCATGGACTAACAACATGAGCATGTGCGTGTGCATGTAAACTGTGCATATATATGTAAATATATATATATATATATATATATATATATATACAGCAAGATCCCGATTAGTGTCCAGGATATGTTCCTGGAATAGAGAGTGCTACTCTAGGGGGTCATTTGCATGCAAGTTTTCCTGTATATGCTGACCTGACTGGTCCAGTGAATAAACACAGACCACTACACTGGGCATGCCGAACACGGAACCTCTGTCACCATTATTGGACTACAGTATTTTTTTTGCAATTTATGATATTAAAGACACAGATGGAATGCTTTAAGATGTAAGAAAACAGAGAGAAGAGAAGTAATGAAAAAGCTCACTCTGAGCTAGCCACAACTGGGCTATTACTGTATATAGTTCACAAATTATTTTTTTATGTATTATATGCATGCAATGTGCAAGTGTATGAGCATCCACGAGATGCTTTCTATTCGTAACCTGTTGACGTACGTGTTTGCTATGTGAACAAGAAAACCATGCTGTCGTTTACTGTGACGCATGCATTTCAACTACAGTACTCCCCCACACTCATGGAAGGTATGCATTCTCGAGAGGTTTACCATAATGTGAACTGCATTTTCCACTCGATTTCTACTATGTAGCTGGACGTGCCTTCCTACCGAGATTAAGCTGTGTGTCCATGTTTGCTATATCAAAGGCTGTATAAAATCCACACCAAATAAATAATAATTTCAATTATTTTTGTACTGCATGCAATTTTGTTTATGAAAATTTCCGTATGGACAAAACTACAGGCCGCACCTGAAATTAGCAGTCACTGTCAACAAATTCTGCATGGGTGATTTTCCACTAACCAAGTGTCCATAATGTGGGGGATTACTGTGACATTTCATGAACCTTGGATAGGAATTCTAGCTGTTTATACCTTATTCATGCAAAATTAAACTGGAACAGGGAGCATATTAGAAATGAATGGATAATAAACCATCACACACTTCTACTAACAATTCTTCATACAAAATTAAATAGGACTAGGGAGTATTTTGAAAATAAATGGATGAGAAATTAGCACAGACTGCTACTGCCACCACACTACTATACATAATGCACTTATTAATAGTAATATCACCGCTCTAATGCTACACACTTCATTTTTACCTGTGTGGCTGACCATTGAAAACAAAGGTCCTAAAATATAGGTAATCATGTTTTTATCTGACAATAATTTGGGTTTACTAAGATTACATTTAATTTAGATCAATAACCAGTTCTTACACATTGCTTTACAAACAATTTCAGAAATACACTTCATTACCTTTCCTATGAAATGCGCATACATGCTTACGTGTACATCCAATGAGCGTATCCTATTGAAGCATTTCGGCAGGAAGCATAATAACGCCACTTTTTAGTCGAGAAAATAATTACAGACTAGAATGTCAGGCTATTTTCTGATACAATGGGATAAGGATTACGACTACATACATTAAGACATCGATGCTACAGGGCTATCTGCTCAATATTCATACCTCTGGAATAGGCTGATCAAGAGAAGCCATCTCCAAATCGAAGCTTTGCTCGTCTTCATAGTTTTGTTGCTCTTGCTCCTAGAGTAAAAAAAATCACCAATACTCCATATATATATGCACTTACACAAACATGTTCAGGGTTCTTGTTAACTTTTGACAAAGCAGGTAATTTGACAATGAATAGCAGGTAACTGTTTTTCCGGCACGGACGGTAGGGCGAGCGGCGAAGGCGCGAAGCCCTGCTAGGGGGGTCCGGGGGTGCATGAAAAATTGCAAAAAATTTCTGATTTGACCCACAAATAGCCTATTTTGATGGATATGGGTTCTAGAATTTGGTAGTTTAGATAGGAAAATATATGCTATTAAGTATCTATTATAAAAAGAAAAACCCGCCCGTGCACAGAGTTAGTCTTGGGTTGGAAGTATTTAAAATAAACTTCGTTTTTTCAAATATGGATTAAACAGTTTACCGCCTTTAGTGGGAGTTTCTCAAATTGATAGCCGGTAACAAATTACGCGATAGGCGGTAAAAATAACCGGTTACCGGCTATTAACAAGAACCCTGATGTTAAACAATGACAGTAAAACAGGTCGTGAAACCCACTTAAAACAATCGAAAGCAAGAAAATCCAACAGCAAAATATTTCATTTTATATATCGTTGACAACAGCTCTTTGTTTTTGAGGGTCGATGTGGTTTTGTGTGATATATACTAGAGTAATTACAACTTCGTTGGTGTCATGATGGTTCTATTAGTTACAAAGTGCACTACTAATCAGTGCTCGACACTCAGGCCACCAGAAATTTATTTCTTCTGGCCCAAAATGAAAAGTGGTAGCCCAATTTTCCATTGGTATTTCTACCATGACGTACAACGGTACATGACTTTAGGCCCTACAAACTTGTCACATTGGGACACAAAGCCACATTTGCATGCAGGGCTCGAATTTTGGCTGAAAATCTAGTGGACAGCAGGACCACCAACTTCAGAAAGTCAGTGGTCCTGCATAAAAGTTGGTGGTCCGCTTATTTACTAGCAGTGAGTAACAAAATGGTATATAAAAATAACCATTGGCATTTTTTAATCGCCCAGCAGAGGTTTTGGTCGCCATTGGCGACCGGGCGACCGGCTGTGTCGAGCACTGCTAATTATCATATTTAGACGGAGAGACCACACAGGGACCATTTGCTCATGCACGGGATATATCCATTGAAAACAGAAACAACAATTGCTATCATGCACAGAATAACTGAGAATATTAAGTAGTAATACACAGGTAACCTCTTAAAACGCGATAGGCGGTAAAAATAACCGGTTACCGGCTATTAACAAGAACCCTGATGTTAAACAACGACAGTAAAGCAGGTCGTGAAACACACTTAAAACAATCGAAAGCAAGAAAATCCAACAGCAAAATATTTTATTTTATATATCGTTGACAACAGCTCTTTGTTTTTGAGGGGCAATGTGGTTTTGTGTGATATATACTAGAGTAATTACAACTTCGTTGGTGTCATGATGGTTCTATTAGTTACAAAGTGCACTACTAATCAGTGCTTGACACTCGGGCCACCAGAAATTTATTTCTTCTGGCCCAAAATGAAAAGTGGGAGCCCAATTTTCCATTGGTATTTCTACCATGACGTACAACGGTACATGACTTTAGGCCCTACAAACTTGTCACATTGGACACAAAGCCACATTTGCATGCAGGGTTCGAATTTTGGCTGAAAATCTAGTAGACAGCAGGACCACCAACTTCAGAAAGTCAGTGGTCCTGCACAAAAGTTGGTGGTCCGCTTATTTACTAGCAGTGAGTAACAAAATGGTATATAAAAATAACCACATAATTGGCATTTTTTAATCGCCCAGCAGGTTTTGGTCGCCATTGGCGACCGGGCGACCGGCTGTGTCGAGCACTGCTAATTATCATATTTAGACGGAGAGACCACACAGGGACCATTTGCTCATGCACGGGATATATCCATTGAAAACAGAAACAACAATTGCTATCATGCACAGATTAACTGAGAATATTAAGTAGTAATGCACAGGTAACCTCTTAAAAATCATTAATCAAAGTCCAATGGACCATATCGTAGACGGATAGATGATACATAGATATATGTTGATGACAACAATTTATTTTAGCACCCCAAGCCTAGTTGGATCAACGATAATTTGGGACCCCCCACCCCAATATGGTTTTGTATATATGTACTACACTAATCTGGGGTGGTAAACTGGGCTTGGGTCGCCTTAGCTCTAGTACTATAGCCCACGTACAGTTGCCGCAGGGCTATAGAACATTTTATTACGAATGCTAGGGACCAACTTATTCACGGTTACTCGCTGCTATAAAACGTCTGTGGTAGGCAATTAATGCCTCTTATCCGAAGTGAATATGTCTTAAATTATATCAGCTACTAAAATTTAACCTCTGCTCTAACTATCATTGAAATGGTCTACTTGCAGTATTTCTTGTGAACGAACATTATTTACGAACTTCAAACGACCATTTTTTGGTGGCGCTGCAGCAGCGCCAGTCAGCGGGTTGGTCCCTAGCATTCGTAATAGAATGTTCTATAGCACTGCGGCAACTGTACGCGGCCTATACTAGCTATAGTACTAGAGCTAGGGTCACATAGTTTAGCACCCCAGATAATTTGCGAAAACATATTTGCAGAATCTGAAACGAAGATTGCGCAGCACTGACTCATTTTGAGCTAATATTAACACACTTTCATTCATTTTGCTGGCTACCACTGTACCAGGCTAGGGTGTTTTAGAATTTACTATACCTGGCTACAGCGCAGCCAGCCATGCTGCGAAGATTTCTTAACAGGTTTGCTCATACTTAGCTGTGTGCTACATCATGATCATGGGTAGGGCACAAATCTGGGCCTAACCCATATTTGAGTGTTTCAATGTGTTTCACTGTTTTTCACTTTTTGTTAGTAAAAACTGGAAAACTGTTAATACAAACGCGTAAAACTTAAATTTTATAACAGCTGCGTCGGGAAGACAATGGCTCATCTCCAAGAAAACTTTTTGTACCTGCAAAATTATTATTTACGTCCATATACCTCAAAATTTCTGTCTTCGTTGAATCTGGCAAATTTCTCCGCCATCTTCCTTGGGCGTCCTAAAACTAGTAATGCAAAGTATTGACGCTAGGTGGAAGTGCCAGCGCAACCGGAAACGGAAATAAGGTATATCAATCTATCTCTCCATTCCTTGTGGTCTTGAACCTGCAAGCGTGTTTACTAAGGTTATTAAAATCGCTAGAATACTACTTAATCCGTGCATATTTTGTTTACTTGTTGCACACGGAAGATAACCGATATTTCTTACTATGGATTTCATTTCCAGTTACGCTTAACCAGAAACTTTCTTTGAAAGTCTTCCATTCCTATTCCAACTATCCGAGATAGCAGTTTTGTTATGATTTTAGTTGGAATAAATGTCAACTACTACTAGTACTAGTAGTTCTTAGTAAACAACAAACCCCAAAGATAATATATATAAGGTGTACCCTAATGCAGTGTCCGTGACCATTCTGCACTGTTCTGCGGTGGCTTTAGTCCGTATGTAGGCTAGTAAGTTGTAGCTGGCAGAGGCAGGAACTGGCGGCGCAAGGATAGAGAGCATGTCCAGTAATGAACATCATCCTATCCTATCACTGTCCTGGACATGATCTCTATCCTTGAACCGAACTGGCCAATGCAAGCGGTTGGGATTGGGTAAATCATGAAAATGTTCAAACTGATTAGTAACTGCTAGTGCGCTGCCTGATGATATCCAGGCATGCTTGAAGTTATCGCCAGTGATCGAAACGTTGCCGATCACTGGCGACATCATCGGACATGATGTCGGGGGAAGTGTGCAGTGTCCCGTAATTTCCTGAGCGCGGTCATCTGTCTAACAGTGACAGTGAGTTGCTAAAAGGTTCACAATGCCTGGCCATGGCCATGGCGCTATTTAATTATTAAATGTATTGTCTTTGCAGTTTGTTGCAGCTAAACGTCAGAATGCCGGAACTCACAACAATCGCTACCGAGGAGAAGCCAGAGAGCAAGCCTGAGCAGGTGGCTGAAGAGAAGAAACCAGAAACGGTTGCTGTTGAGGATGGTGAGACACTTGTAGAGTGTGGAAATCTTTCCAAGCATTGAAGACACACTTTGATTCTATATTTAAAATAAAATACAGTAGAAAGTTATTATAAATCAGTCGGTAATGAATTGGTTGGTATTCACCACATGTTTAAAAGTGGCACCAATGGAAATCTATTCTTGATGGCAATCTGTGTGAAGAAAATAGTAAGAGATATATCATTTCTTATTCATCATCTTGTAAAATTTGACGCCTGTGCCATTTTATCATTGGGATGTCTAAATTGGCAAGTGCAGATTTGAATACTGTTACTCTACTTTGGCCGAAGCAGCTGGAAGACTGAAAAACTTGCTATGAATGTCAAGAGATGGTGATCAATGGTAGATTGGTAAGAACAAACTGACATAAAGTTGTTTGGGGGAAAAATGGTAGCATCGTTGGGTGCTAATTCTTGCGCGTTTGTTTGCAGGTAGTGGCACAGAATCCGAGTCCGACGAAGACTCTATGCCAGAGCTGGAGGAACAGGATAGCGCGCAGCTGGCTCAGTCCGTATGTAGCTTAGTCAAAATCAGAACTTGGGAGCTATGCAATGACACTGTGATCACAGACTAGCTTTGTAGCGACTGCGAAACAATGTTACAGAGTACGAAACCGGGGGCAGAGACGAAACGCAAAATTCTTTTAAAAACATCAAAAGTATATACTAACGTGTCGGGCTGTAGGATAGATCGTAGCATTGCTTGTTTTCTCCATAACGAACATGTTTGTTCTTCTATAGCAGGGTCCGATAACATCGGCTTGACTGTACAATGATTTCTTGTCGCCACAGGCAGCGGTAAGGCCCGAAGGCCTGTTCGGGGAGGAGCTGGTATCGAAGGCCAAGCAGAGTCGCTCCGAGAAGAAGGCCCGGAAGATCATGTCGAAGCTCGGCCTCAAACAGGTGACGGGAGTGAGTCGAGTCATGATCCGCAAGTCGAAGAACATCCTGTTTGTCATCAACAAACCGGACGTGTACAAGAGCCCCGCTAGCGACACCTACATTGTGTTCGGTGAAGCTAAGGTGAGCTGCTGCTGCTGGTGCTGCTGCTGGCATGTCGAAATGCGACATAGCAGGTAGTCTTGGGTTGCTGCGTTGGGATGCTGCGCATCTTTGTGTGTGTACGCATTGTGAGTAGGTGCATAGATAGATCTACAGAATTTGTTATACACATGATGCTCACACATGAAGTGTAAGCAAAAGAAGATTTTGTTAGACTTCGCTGTTATTCAGATAGCATACAGTACTGATACATTTTGATCAAACAGGTGTGTGCGTGCATGCGGGCATGTGCAACAATATCCTACCCTTCTACTTGGTTTCAATGCCGTCCTCTGTGTTTGCAGATTGAGGACCTCAGTCAGCAGGCGCAAATGGCAGCTGCCGAGAAGTTCAAGGCACCACAAGCAGCGCCGGCAGCAGCCGCGGAATCCCGGGTGGAAGCGCCGATTCAGGAGGAGTCTGATGAAGAAGAGGTAAGAGCAGCTTGCTTGGTTGCCAACGTAGTTCAATATTCATTGGCATTTAATGTTGTTACTTTTTGAATGCCAACAAATACGACATCCTCCCTGTCGGTACACATCGTAAATGTCTAGCCTTGCAGTGATAAGTGAGACAGTGGTTTGTGTGCGAGTTGTGATCTTGTGACAGATGTAGTCTTTTTTACCAAAAAATTTTGATTGGGTAGTATGAGTTATGTATGCGTCTATAAAGTTTGTTTTAAAAGAGACGCTAAGAAGTGTAAACATGACATTGTTGACTGTACAAACCTGTTCTGTTTCAAGGTGGATGACACTGGTGTGGAACCAAAGGACATTGAGTTGGTAATGTCGCAAGCAAATGTTAGTAAGGCCAAGGCGATCAAGGCATTGAAGAACAATCAAAATGACATAGTAAATGCAATTATGGTAAGTTCTCATGTGTTTATTCATTAAAAGTGTCAAGAAAAAACCAGCTTGGTTATATTTCATATAATTTTGTTGATATGTATTTAAATTACTCTTGCAATGTTCTGGTGTATCAGTGTGTTGCTGCCAATATTGACTCGCTCTTATTCATGTAAACAGTAAATTAGACTAAGAGTGTGCAAGTGTAAGAGTGTAAAAATGAAAAACCATGTTCTATACTAAGTGAAAATGTTTTTGTTTAAATGGCTGATCTCTAAACTCATTATTTAAATTTTTACAGGAACTAACAATGTGATGATGGCATCACTGGCGGACAGATGACGGAGGTGGATTGGATATGATTGTGTCATAGTTGTGTCTCCCCGTTACCCGATGACTGGCTTCGATTGTTTCTATATTTTTGCTTATTTCCGTATTCCTTAGTAACTGAGATTCAGAATGCACTTTATAAATCCGGTAATGTTCTTGTGTGCCATTACATAATATATAGCTTGTTTAGTTGTTTTACCTTTGCTGAAAATGTGATTTAGATGTTACCCCTTCACCATGCTTTACCAATCTGCACATGTATCTGACAGTAGAAATAAAGGGTCGTGGTTACCAGTTAGCACAGTGGTTGGTAATGGTATGTAAATTCCTGCATTTTGGAACTTTTTTCTGTACATGAACGAATGATTGAAAAATACAAAGCAGATGAAATTCTCCCAACTACATGTTTACTCATTTTACTCGTTATTATCTGTGTTTTAGTTATCATTGATTAAGAATTAACGTACATGTGAATCACTCGATACAGATTATTAAAGCAAATGTGCTGTGTGCCAAAAAAAAACTACAAATTGGTTAAACAAAAATGAGATGGTGTTCCTATGTAAAAATTATAACATTTTCTGTATTGTAGATTAGTATTTTACGTGTTGTGTTCTCCGTTTAGCGCTTAGACTACGGTAGTGCTTATTAATAAACTGGCGTCAGAAACGAGCATTTCACCTCCGCCGCTGCTAAGGTTTAGCACAGCCCCGTTAGATGGCGCAACGAAGTCATATATGACAGAACTGTAAATATATGGCCGTGTAAACGGCGTAATCACATCTGAGATTTGATCACTCCAGCTTTCACCGCCGTGACCCGTGTAACCACAGGTGTAACGACACAATTCGAGATGTGTTAGCAAGATGGCTTCGTCTGTTGTAAGAATTATAATATTTTTATTTATACGCATACTTTCTATGTACAGCAGTGTTATAGTTTTTCTCTTTGTATCTGCAGTGTACATTGTCTATGCGTATACTATAGGCTATATATAGTAAATGGACTCCTGCTATGGTATTGTCAATCATGAATAGCTTTCCATGTCTATCGACCATGTACTATAGTATAATATTGATAAGTATGTATATCGTCAGGGTTCTCCAAGCTTTTTCATTATTTATAGCATGGCGGCAGCTGCCTTTCCGGTCCTAGTTTTGGCATTTTTTGTATTTTTTTAGCAAATTTTAGCATGGCGGCTATGATATTTAGAGTGGCGGGTGCATTTTAGGATGGCGGGGCTCGACGATGCTCTTGGAGAACCCTGATTCGTGTATGTGTTATGCGCAAATGCATAATTGAATATTGAACTTTGAATCTTGCACAGGAGATCAGTCTAAACGTGGTGAAATGCCTTGGAGCCTTTTACATTATCTACTATTGTGTCGGAAGTCTGGCGTTCGGTGCGTATAGCCTGCAACATTTTGACGGCAAGATACCGTTCGATTTTAACACATGGGTGGACTACATGGAGTGCTGTAAAGGGTACACGTCGAGTGAGTTAGGTAGGGCACGCATAGAAGCTAGCATGGTTATATAGCATCCAGTCAGTGGCATTCTTGTACTACGGTGGTGATATCTATACAATGTATCAGTAGTTGTATAAATTGTGAGAATATCTTTAATACATTGTATAGATATGTTTATGGTACCACGTTTACATGTGATCATTGCCCATTGCATTCTTGATTCAACGAATCCCACTTTAATAAAAATTGGATTCAATGGGAAAACATCAGTAAATATTATGGGTTTATCACAAAATTGATTGATTTAATCAGATATGTTTATATTTGTTTGGCAGTCACTAGTAGTTTGGCAGCGCTAGACTTTAGTGTCAGATGGTGAAAAGGTCCAGGGCACAATTTATTGCTGTAAAGCCTGCTTAAGGACTCCCTGTACTTGACACATCATTGTCATCATTATCATCATCATCATCATCATCATCATCATCATCATCATCATCATCATCATCATCATCATCATCATCATCATCGTCATCATCATCATCATCATCATTATCATCATCATCATTATCATCATCGTCATGCACCATAACTCTAGCCCTAACACTAACAATAACCATGACTCTAATCCTAACATAAATACACTTTAAAACGGCTTCTGATAGTAACAATGTCACGATAACAGTAATATGGGGACCTAGTACCCTGAAACCCCTTACGTGGCAAGACAACATGTGAAAGTGACTTCAATTTGCAACTAGGTTGCTTGAATCAGTATCATGCATGATAGTCAACAGCTAGATGTCGTTTCCCATCTCAATTCCTGTTCATCATCTTAATCAATATGTTTCAGTGAATCTAATCTCGTTGATGCTGACCTACTTCGTTCTACCGTTCGTGCTCGTGACCTTCATCAGACACGCACTGTGGGACTACATACTGACTGTCACCACCATACATGTAGCAGTTTCCAGCCTCGGTGAGGGCTAGAGTTGTCAACATGCATAGCATGTTCTATAATCTACTAGTTGGTTTCGTGCTTTTGTGCAGTAAACGACGAACTCGTGATATTGGGAATAATTGAGTGCCTTAAATTTGTACATATTTAGAGTCACTATTTATTATTATTATTATTATTATTAATTTTTGACTAATGTCAAGATCAATGACTTTAACTTGTTTTTTTTTTATCGTTGTTGTTGCAGTCATGTTGGAATTTCCACTAAACTGGAATTGGTGGGCCTCCCTGGGTATGTATTTACATTAATAAAATGTGTTTTTCTGTTTGTATAAGCAGGAGTCCATTAATAAGGGTAAATCATGTCAAAACAGTTAATGGAAAGTTCACCTAAACTAGCTTTAGTTTTCCTATCATTTATCACACGTAACTTAATAAATGTGAACCCAAAAGTTGCCTTAAACATTCATCTATCCTCGTACCTAATCGTTTTTTTTGCGTGCGTGCGTGCGTGCGTGCGTGCGTGCGTGCGTGCGTGCGTGCGTGCGTGTGTGATAATGATAAGAGCCATAAGGTGGAGCTGCTGCTTGTTGATTGATGTGATTTTCTTGTGGTCTTCAGGTATTGCCAGCCTCTTTTGCATTTGCATTGGTGAGTCGCTCTTGCTGTCTATCAACGCCAAGTCACTCTACCTTACGTGATGCCTGCGTGAAATCCAAGAGGCTGCCAGAACGTAGCAAAGGGGAAGAAAGGCACATGTATATATGTGTGCAGTTTCTGTTGCGTTACGCGTCATCGGCCAGTTTAGTCTATTCAGTTATCGTAAGCTACTTGAAGTCTAGCCGATTCCATTGACAGCTCTACTGATTGTCTGTGAGTGGTAGACGATTCGTGTCTCGGAAGTATTTTTGCGCCAAAGTAAATTATTGTTGCCAAATGAGTTTATTCATTAATTCATAATGGATATTTGTTTTATTATTTCATTCAATAACTTCACAGATTATATTTCTGATTTAATTGCTGTCAGTGAGTAATATCTGACAAGCCGTTTAATGATTCAAGGTTTCAGATGCGTGGTTATTTCAGATGATAATTACGGTGGTTTTGCATCTTGTCATTTAGTGATTTCTTGTTTTAATTACATTTGTATTTAAGATGAGAATTGGATATCTTAATGCGATCCGTCCTAGGTTGTACTATTATGATATTAGCAAGACTTTGATTGCATGCTTGATATTAGCTGTTTTGAAACATTCCGTATGTACATGTATTTATGCAGTTTCGTGATATAAAATCTTTTAGGTGATTTTTCTTAAAGTAATTACGTCACCGTAAATGGTAAAAATAAAAAAATATTTCCAGTTTTTCACAGAATGTAAGTAATTCTGTTCACTTTTTATGGTTAAATTGCTGCATTATAGTTCCTATTTTACTATATTGTTTGATGTAAACATACGTACATGTAACATTCGTGACATAGTCAATTTTATCCGTCCCGTAATGTTTCTATTTGAGTAGTTCCATCAGCAGTGGAATTGCTGTACATATTAAAGCGTGAATGTCGTCGGTATGTATATATTTATTTTTATTGTAAGAACGGTATTTCTATTTATATAAGTAACGTTGATCAAGCTAGTTGTAGTTTGTCTCATTAAGATAATGAGTGAGAATGAATGGCCTTTACTGTACAAGTACAAGCTCATTGACTGTATAGTCTTGTTCACTAGTCGAACTATGGTTCTTACTCGCCATGTACAGTATTTTCTTCATCCTATCTGTCCATAGTCGTCTATTCACCCCATTGTGTCAATTACTTAAGCATGAACAATATTTTCTAAAACATTTCGAACAGTTTATGAAATAAATTATTTTTCAATTACCGGTAAATTGTTGCGTTTGTCGTTTATTTTCAGCTCAATACAATGTGCTCGCTGCTGTTGTGTGCAATGCAAGCGCAAACAATCTTGATGTCAGCTATGGATGTCGATGAGTCCTGGTTAATTGCATTTAGTATTTATCTGCCCACCCCTAATCTCTTCCATCTCCGTCATGGTCTGATAGGTCTCCATTCTCCATCGATATCGGTTTAACTATGCAGTTATAGTGAGATCGTTAAATAGACGACGAGCTTTCCCGTGGGGCAATAAAGTCCAATGTTGTGATCAGTAAGTAATCCGCCTTTATGCTCATCAAAATACACGCCTGTCATACCATCTTCATTTCTGAAGTTAAGCCTGTTCTGCGCGTACGTGTGTACGCGCATGCGTGCGCGCGTACGTGCGTGTGTGCGTACGTACGTGCGTGCGTGCCTGTGTGCGTACGTGCGTGTGTGCGTGCGTGCGTGCGTGCGTGCGTGCGTGCGTGTGTGCGTGCGCGCGTACGTGTGTGTGTGCGTGCGCGCGTACGTGCGTGTGTGCGTGCGCGCGTACGTGCGTGCGTGCCTGTGTGCGGGCGCGCGTACGTGCGTGTGTGCGCGCGTGTGTGCGCGCGTACGTGCGTGTGTGCGCGCGTACGTGCGTGTGTGCGCGCGTGCCTGTGTGCGTGCGTGCGTACGTGCGTGTGTGCGCGCGTACGTGCGTGTGTGCGTATATACGTGCGCGCGTACGTGCGTGTGCGCGCACGTGCGTGTGCGCGTAGATGCGTGTATGCGTACCTGCGCGCGTACGTGCGTGTGTGCGTGCGTGCGTGCGTTCGTGCGTGCGTTCGTGCGTACGTCCATGCGTTCGTACGTGTGTGCGTACGCGCGTGCGTGTGTACGTCCATGCGTTCGTGCGTGTGTTCGTCCATGCGTGCGTTCGTGCGTGCGTACGTCCATGCGTTCTGTCACGCCATGGCGTCCGTGTTCTCTGTACGCGTTTTTGTGAACAACATTTAGCTAATAGCAGCTGACACCCGGTGAAGCATTTATTATTGGGTGCCCGGGCGTGAGTATGCATTGGGTCTCCATGATTGCTTTTTGCCATTTTCCTGAATGTGAATTGGAAAGGGAAATAAAAAACTACGGATGCCCCTTTTGCAGTCGATTCGTGGCGCTATTGTAGCCGAATGATTGCATATAAACGATCCGAATGACCACAATTTGCCTTGAAAATGATGCAGTTCCGTTCTCAACAAATTCATTTGTTGACCGCTGACGAATATTAATATTATTGTTAGTAGTAGTAGTAGTAGTAGTAGTAGTAGTAGTAATAATAGTAGTAGTAGTAGCAGCAGCAGCAGCAGCAGCAGCAGCAGCAGCAGCTCTCCCGGCTAGAGAAACTTATTCGGTTTATTCGGTTAGAGGACAAATTGGCTCTGCTCTGCTCTGCCGTTAATTATAATTATAGTCACCAAGCTTAGTACTTATTACAATTAGGTATACGACTAGTTGACAGG